AGACGGCTGCGGTAATCCATGATACGCCAGGCAAAATATTGTTTTTCAATGCCGAGATGTAGTCCCCACTTAGCACGCTGATTGAACTTCCCGAGCGGAGCGGTAGGAGGACGGTACTGAACAACACACCCGAAAACACGAAGTAATTTAGTGGTACCCAACTTGCCCGTCCACAGCAAGTGGGGTGATGCGTTGTTGGGCAGGGCCGAGGACGAAAGAAGATTGTGCAACAGCGTTGCATGGTCCATGGCGAAAGGCCAGTAGAGTGGGCCGAGTTGAGCCTGGGCAAGAAGGGCTCGCATCTTCTCTTGCAGAGTACTGTTGAGCCTCTCTGCTACGCCACTCTGCTGATGAGCGTGAGGCAACGAAAAAAGTCGTCTTATCCCGCGTTCTTGCAGATAGGCCGTGAACTCAGTACTGCGATACTCGCCGGCGCTGTCACACTGAAACGCCTTGAGCTTAGTATCAGACTCTCGTTCGGCGAGAGGAAGCCAGGTGCGAAAAGCTGTAAACGCAAGAAAACGGTTAGTCATGTTTCCAGTCCAAACGTAACGAGTAGAAGCGTCTGTAAATGTGATAACGTAGCGTTCGCCGTTGAAACCATCCTCAGGTAAGTTAAGTATATCGCTGTAAACCTTATCCATCAGTTGATAATCGTCAGCTCCAGGGAAATGAGTCGGGAATGGCTCGTGCGGTAGGTTTGCCGCAGGGCAGATGGTGCAGGGTGCCGGGCGATTCACCGGCTTCAGTTCGAGACCGCTCGATAAGAGTAACGAATTTTTGTCAAGCACTGCAGCCTTGATCGTGTTGTTTAGCGTAAACTGCGACGGATGACCAAGTCGTTTATGCCATGTTTCTCCCGTGGCTTTGTGACCTTGTGCGCGCAGGTAATACTCGGCGTTAGCGAAGAACGACAACAGAAGTTGATGACCATCGGAGCGGATCTGATCGAAAGCAGGTGCGACGTAACGAGTAAGATTTGGTGGTGGAACACAAACCTCAACATCCACGTACTCGCCTGGAGCAAGTACTAACTCGCCGCTTTCTTGATCGGATGCTGCAGGTACAGGTTCAACTCCAACGAGACGACCCGAGTCAAGAATCTCCATTTCAGCGACGCGTTGTTCAGCTTCAGCGAGAAGACGAGCATCGCGTTCAGCAGGTGTCTCGCCCCAAGTTGTTTCATCAGGTTCGTCAGCCCCCCAGATGCCGTCATCAGTCGGCATGTTCGTCGGATCACCCCAACCTTCAACTGCAGCCATGTACTCCCGAGAGTTCTCAACATCATTCAAGCCTTGATCGTCAAAGGTCAACATGACGGCGGCAGCCGTGGTTGAAGACGTCGGGACAACTCCCTCCCGTGGAACTGTATCGTCGGTGTAATCAATATCATCACGATGCTCCCAAGGACCAAGCGAGAGAATGTTATCAGAGTCGGCAGTAGTGCGCTCAGGTATGAAGTTCAAAACGAAAACACTGTTTTGCTCAACTGCCGTGCCGAGTTTCTTGTCGCCGTACTTCAGAGTGAATTTCCCAGGTTCACCGAGAAGTGTAATCCCGTTCTTCATAAGCTGTGCAGATGACATGAGGTTGAAGCCAAGCCGAGGGACCAGAAGAACTTCGTTCAGGTGAAGACTGAAGTCTTCTTCAACTGAGTCCAGAACAATACTTCCCATCCAGTGAGCTGTAAGTCGTTGGTTATTGGCGACCGTGACGACAACGGGATTCTCCAGACGGTGTTGATTCACGATGAAACGCGTCTCTGACGAACACATGTGCTGACCGCAGCAACTGTCGAGGTACCAAGTATTGGGACCTGCAATGGTATGTGCAAGATTTGCATAGACCTCAGGTGGAATCGGTGTGTTGAGTTCGTTGTTGAACCGGTTGTGAATCCGCTCTTCAGCATCAGGATCATAAACCGTTGACACTGATGTCATGCAATTAATAACTGCTTTTGTTTGTGTCTTGGCAGGTGCAGTAGTCGGCTTCGCAGAGTTCAGCTTCGCAGTATTCTGCTTCTCAGCGTCCGGCTTCTCTGCTTCACTTGAAGAATCTTTATTATGTTTCGAAGCAGACCGCTTCCAAGATGGTTTGTCTTTCGACCAGCAGGTATCAATAGTGTGTCCTGGTTTTCGACAAAAAGAACAAACGGGCTTGTGACGTGGATTAGAATAAAAACTGACTGTATTGTTTACCATCTTTTTCCCTCCTCGAGCGTTGTGCAGATCCATATCCTGCTGCTCGGCGATGAGAGCGGCACAGAGTGCCCCCTCGGACAACTGTGCTTGCATCCGAAGTATAGAGCGACACTGTCGCCATTCTGGTCCAAGACCCGCAAGTAGCACCGTGTGGAACATAGCGTCGGGGAAGTACCCTCCACACTTCTGAAGTTGATCGCGCAGATTTCGAGCGCGGTTAATATACTGCGTCACCTTCTCGCCGTTTATCATCTGTATATTTGACAGCTGCGTCAAAATTTTACTCTGGTTGACAGTATCTTTTGCCATGTGAACCCCTTGCAGGTATAACCAAGCTGCTTCAGCGGGAGCGACACTGTTACGAAAAGAACGAATTCCGAGCTGTTCAGTCGGAGTCAGATTACGAACGAGAACTGTGTATGCAGTCAGCGACGCCGATCGAAAAGTGGCTTGTTGAAGTGGTGACCCGTGTGATGGAAATGGTGCTGTGCCGTCATACAGCTGCCAGAACCCCGCGGTCTGAACAAGAAGCTCAAACTCAAAGCTCCAGGTATAAAAATCTTGACCGTTAAAAGGCGTTGTCGTTTTAATTTTTGTAGGATTTGCAGAAGCAGGAATATAACTTCCGGTACCGTCAGCTGATTGTAGCTGATAGAGTGATGGCGCTTGTGACCCTTGTTGTGTTTGTTGTCCTTGTCCAGCAGGACCAAAGGAGAAAGAGTTGTTCGACCCATCACTTCCTTGTGGCATCTGACCACGCTGATAACTGGAGCCATCAATGCTCATCGGAGTTGGAAACATCTGGTTAAGCGACAAGACGGCAGCATTAACACGTTGTTGAAGATTTGCTGGTTGGTAAGCACCTTGATATTGGTAAGGTCCAGTCGGAACGAAGTTAGACTATTGTCCCGGTTGACTTGAAGAACCAGGGACTGCAGCTGCAGCTGTTGAGGCTGCTGTTGCTGCTGTCGCGGCGGCTGCTGTCGATGATGCCGCTGCTGTAGTTGTGTGTACGGGCTGACTGCTCAATGGCATGCCGTACATCGGTTGTTGCTGATATTGTTGTTGTTGTTGTTGTTGTTGTTGTTGCTGCAGATGTGAATTATCAGCAGCTGGAGACGCAGTTGGGCGTGATGGGCTCGTAACAGAAGAGCCATTGTTGGACCTTGGAGATCCAGACATAGTTGTAGAATAGGCAGATGGAAGCTGTTTTAATCCTAAGTTGCTCTCATACCATGTTAGAATCCCAACCACTAAACCATTGGGATAAAAGGGCTTGTTAAGTAGCGGGTCAGTGCGCCCATAACCCCCCAGGACAACGAGCCTGTAACCCTTCCCTAGGATCAATCGGGGATCACCAGTGGACCTCTGACACCCCCCCGCACTGGGATGCCCGAAGTGCACACACTGAGATTCGAACTCGAGACCTTCGCTCTGATACCATGTTAGAATCTGAACTGATTGAATAGGATCGTAGTCTTAGGATAGTAGCTTCCTGTAGCAGTGGAAGTCTTTTATATGAGTGACTTGTAACAGGATCAAAGGTCTCTGAAATCAAGTATATTATAAAATGACAAGCATACAGAATATATAACTAGACTAAAGTACATGTTCGCCTACTGTGCTGTATTTATTCGCGCTATTCCTGTTCTGAAAAGGTACGTGACTATTCGCGATACCTACAGCTACTGATGACGTCATCCTAAGGCGCGTAGCGCTTTGCTAACGTCAGTCTATCGGTACTTTTACTGTACTAACTATACGAATTCCTTGAAGTGCATAAGTCTCGACATTATCTCAACAGCGCAGAACGTCGCCGTGTAGTCTTGGACCGATGTCACCTACGGTACTTCTAGGCACGCAGCTTCATGCGAGCAGAATCCAAGGCGGATACATGCTCGAATCTGGCTCGCAGCGCGGCGCCCCACTCCGTCCATGTGCGTATCGTGGACACTCCGAAGATTGTAGTTGCTCGAAACGGAAGTCAGTCGTGAGGGTAACCATGCAACGCGCAACGGCAAAATCTCCGAATGCTGAAGAAAAACCTAGTTCCAACATCGATCCCTCTCCCACAATTTCTCCAAACCCGTCCTCTTTCGAGCAGCAAGAATGTGTTGCCTTCACAAATCCAGCTGATGTGCCATCTTCCAATCCATCATTCCACATGCAATCATTCAATTGATTCCGAAACAAGGGTAAAATGGCAGTACGACCACTTGATGACCAGCCATCATCCACAAATCTATCTTATTCATCTCCCAAACCCAAACACATGCTTTGCCCGTATATTCATAGAGATAAGGAGCGCTACTCCCTCCCTGCTACCTTACAGCAGCAGGGTTGGTAAATACACTAGTCCAAGGTGATGCTCCGTGTGGAAAATTCTGACTCTTAATAGCCGAGAATCTTAGTGGGCAAGTCCAGCAGCTGAGGCAGGGCAGAGGGATGGAACTTCCTTGCAAACAAGAAGCAGGTGCGATTCTCCCCATCCTTGGAGCACGGGAGAGTGTAGGACTGCAATTGAAATAGATGCACAAGGGGAAGGATGATGCATGATGAGGAAAGAGAAGTGAAAGGTGCTAAGCTGTATTTGATGTTGTGTGAACAGTGTGTATCGAAACTACAGGGGTGCAATGGAAAACAAGTGACAACGAAAGGTGACAGCAGAGAAACAAAGGTACATAATGAGGAATAGATGAGCGGAGGACTAAGGGCATGTGGGAATCTTTGAGATGACCGAGAAATGGGTGTGCAGGTGAGAGCACATCAAGGGCGTGTGGGAAAGGGGGGGTTACTCACGCTTTGTGGAGTTTCATCATCAGGTTCCTGTGTAGGCAAGGAAGTCAGAGAGGAGGGGAGAGGTAATGAGGACATGGAGAATAGGATATTGACACAGCTATAGCACTTGTGTGCTGTGGTGGTTGTGGTCATGTGGACAAACAAAACCAAACAAGACATGCCAGTTGCTGATTTGAAAGGTGGAAACGTGCATAACAAGGCTGGTCATGGATGGATGATTGAGGAACTCACCACGACATTACGATGCATGTACATTCGCGGCTTCTGAAGGGGGAGAGGGACATGCAATGTAGGAAAGAGGGAGATGCAGAAAAAGGGACGATGAGGGAATGCAATGAAAGGGAAATGCTGAAACTGTGATGCAGAGATAGGAAGTGTACATGCATATATACAAATACAAATGTTCACTTCTGTAGCTATGTACATACAGTGATGTAGCGAATGAGGCTGGGTCGAGTGAGAAAGGGATCGAAGGTGCGTGGGTGGGCCGAGTTGAGTGGGAAGTCGACATAGGTGATGGTGCGATTGGCCAGATTCCCGGGGTCTTTCAACTGTGGAACAGGGAAAAGAGGAGAATAGACAACGAAGGAGAAAAAGGGATATACATGGTGGTGAGAAGGCAGTCGACATATGTGATGGTGCAATTGGTCAGGGTCCTTTGACGGTGGAAAGGGGAGAAAAGCAGACAGCGGAGGAAGACTGTATGTGCGGAATTTCGTGAGATGCTGGCCTACTTGATGGAGGGATTGGTCAGAATCTGGTTGGGGAGAGAATGGGGAAGTCAGAGCGTGGAGGAGGAAGATACAAACGCCGGAGATGGCTGGGTGTAACACTAGTCTCAGATGAAGCCAGCTTCTTATGGAGACTGGCTCTATGAGAAACTGTTTGGAAAAAAACTCACATTGAGAAGAGTTGGGATGTAGTGCTCGTCTGAGTAGCACTCGTGATGTTGGATGTCGCCCTGTAACGAGTATAAACACAACCACCACATTATGGAAAACAACCATGAGAACCGCATGTGGAGAGCATCTATCAGCAAATTCAGAAAGGATAACAAATGTTGACAATTATGAAGGAGCAACCAGATAGTCCTGAAGCAGGGACTCGTCAACCATGATACTCACCCTGCAGTAGATTTGAAAAAGCTTATGCACATCGATGTCATCAATTATAATGTTCGCATGTTTGCGTGTAACCGAGAACCACTGCATTACGAAGACAAACAAGGGAGGGTTAATCGTGTAATGTAATAAGCAAATTCGTGTAAAAACTCTCACGGAACCAACAATGAAGAATCGAACAACGCATGTCAGTCCAAGGCTCACCTGAGACGCTTTTCTCCACTTTTCAAGAGGAATCAGTGGAGCCATGCGTTCATCGTGTCGTCCCGTATTCACGTATCTGTCTGTAGTGAAGCTGTCACAAAGGAAAAAAAGAAAGTGAAAAAGAAGGAAACAACGTATGCCAGGGTTATGACTCCATACCAACATGCTAAGCAAGAAGTTCAACAAATATTTAATGTGATGAATACATGTGGACCAATTTACCTGGATACAAAGCTGTAGTCAGTTCCAAGGAGATATCTCCACGTAAATTTCAGGCTCTTAACGGGAATGCAACTGCAAGGCAGGAAACGAATGTGGAGAGAGGATGAGTGTAAGCGAAAGTAGGATAGAAAAATAACGAATGGGGTGTTCTCAAGTGAGGAGGGATGAGAGATATCTCGACCAGGATGCTTACGTTCGTAAAACACGACGGTGGGACGAAAACGGTAGCGAAGCTAGCAACAAGTGGCCCTTACGATTCGGAGATGAGCACGAAGTTATGATTGGCTGGGTCCTTGAGCGCCGCGGCAATCAGCCGTCGCTCGGCGTCGATCATCGTCGGCGAGCCCCACGACACCTGCGAGAGGATGAAAGGATTTCGGGAGGCGAAAACGATTGGTTCATCTCAATTTGGCAACCGAGTAGTGTTGTACGGGAATTTCTCTCTTCTCTGAGACTTTACCCCAGAAATAGGAACCCGATTTGGGTCAGCTGAGGGTAACGTGCGGAAATATATATCTAGAAGGGGGCTAGATACCTAGAGCGCGCTCAGCGCCCTTTCGGAAGTGACACTTGTTGCGTGACGGGTTTGCAGCACGGTGGAGTAGGTTACAAGAGGGTGCAATTGGATACTCACCGCTTCGCTGCGGATGGTGTTGTTGCGGAAGAGCGCGGAGGCGTTCTTGGGGAATTCGTAGCCCGGCGCCGTGTGCACGTAGATGGAGTAGCTTCCCTCGTGACCCTTCGATAGTGGCACGTGGCAAATGGCACAAACGCGGGGAGAAGGTGGCAGAAACAAAAAGAGTGTTTGAGATTTTCAAGGGAGGAGACGTGGAGGGAGGGAGGGAGAGAGAGAGCGAGAGAGAGAGAGAGAGAGAGAGAGAGAGAGAGAGAGAGAGAGAGAGAGAGAGAGAGAGAGAGAGAGAGAGAGAGAGAGAGAGAGAGAGAGAGAGAGAGAGAGAGAGAGAGAGAGCGAGAGAGCGAGAGAGCGAGAGAGAGAGAGAGCGAGAGAGCGAGAGAGCGAGAGAGCGAGAGAGAGAGAGAGATAGAGAGATAGAGAGAGAGAGAGAGAGAGAGAGAGAGAGAGAGAGAGAGAGAGAGAGAGAGAGAGAGAGAGAGAGAGAGAGAGAGAGAGAGAGAGAGAGAGAGAGAGAGAGAGAGAGAGAGAGAGAGAGGAGCAGGTGGTTTGGAGGAGCTGTGAGGTGGCGCGCTAAAAACATGCAATAGCTTACCAATACTAAGTACAGTAAGGAAAAGGGCAGGGAACTGCAATAACGGTCAATGAGCACCGCAAGGAACGGCATGCGTTTGGCGGAATTAGATTCGGCGCGCGGGGTGAGCCCGTATAGGTAAGGAACATCAACGCCACTCGCAGCTCCACTAAACTACGAGGAAGCTGGAACTCTTCCAAGTATCAAGTGGGTGGCGCCTCAGCCCGTACCTTGAAGTATCGCTCCCATAGCTTGGCGTGCGGGATGGGGCCCTTGGTGAGGAACATGAACGCCACTTTGCGGTACTTGTGCTTCACGCGGCTCGCCGCCTTCTCGCGCTGCACGCGCGTTTTGCGAAGCTCGCAAAGCGTCGCCTCGTCTTCCGGCGAAAGCCTTAGCTCGCGAAACACGTCCTCCTCCTCGCTAGTTTTGTTGGCTGTCGCATCGGATCCCTTTTCACTCTCGGCATTCAACATTTCCGCCTCCTCCTCCGTTTCGGCTTCGTCGTCCTCTTCGCCAACCTCGTCGACCGTGTTACCACCAGTGACCTTTACGGCCTTCCGCGAGGTGGCGGATCTCGACTTTCGCGAACGCGCAAGCTTGCGCTCTTTCGCCAGCACCTCCGCCGGCAGGCCCCGCTGCTCGTCGTCCACCTCCTCCGATTCCGCCTCCGCATCCCCTTCCGCCTCCGCGTCCCCTTCCGCCTCCGCGTCCGCCTCTGCGCCCGCCTCCGCATAACCCCCATCATTTTTTCCGCCTGCCCCCGTTTCCTTCTCAGTCTTCGCGACAGGTTGCGACAGACGGTCGACCGCGAGAGCCGCTTTGCTCATCTGTGGGAGAAAGCTGCCCGTGGAAGTTTCGCTACTCTTGGCCGCACTCCCTGCCAATCTGCTTGTCCCAATACCTTGGATGCTCTTGCTCTGGGAAATTTTGCTGGTTCCCCCCAGCAAGATTCCATCGCTTTTCTTGCTTCTGCTGATGGTAGCCGGCCCCGCAGAGATGGTACTTGGATTTGCACCACGCAGTTGAAGAATGCTAATCGGTTGCACGGCGACGCGTAGGCCTTCGGAATCATCCATGCCGTCTGATTCAATGATCACGCGAGACGCGGATTTGCCGCCGACGATTGACGTCAGCAGGTCCGCGTCGCCGATCGCCAGCTCTGCAGGATTACTGGTGGGCGACGCTGCGAGATAGGCGAGGAAGATGAGGACGACGATGGCGACAGGGCTAGCGAAAATTATCATTCGCGTGGCGAGACCCTGCGACTTGACTGCATGAAGAAACGCTGCCATGGTCGGAGACTGAACGATAAAGTTTGCGATCAGCCGTGGCGGGCGCACAGTCACGGTCGCCGCTGATAACGGATTGACGCGACCGACGAAGCGATCAGAGCGACTTGTTCCGCGCACGATGTGTGGTTACCAGCCTACTGGGAGCGACAGTGAAATTCTGACCCCCACATGCTGGGAGTCGCACGATGGTCAGATCTAGTTTTTTTGTAAGTCGATGTCGCGTGACCTACGGGGCCCAGTTACGACTGACCAAAGCTGTAATTGACTCTAACTTGTAGCTGCGGATTATTGTTAAAACTCTTCCGCAGTTCTTCCCTAGTAGGGAAGAAGGTGTCACAAGCAGCTTTCTCGATTGATCGTGACAACACCAATGAGACACGGCGGAACGGAAAGTCTTGGGATAAAATTTACTTGGTTTCTACGCCGGTTGCCAAACGAGTTGCTGAATGGCGGACTTGGAATTAAAGGGAAAATTAGGACGATGTTCGGGATGATGGCTCCACTGTCATTGAACCCAGCCGTGATGCTCATGGGATCTGGGCTGGGAGAAATGGGGGGGATGAAAGTGTGGGGGGGAGCGGCGCGGATGGCTACTTCCACACGAATGTGCGGAGGAATTTCTCTTGTGCACGATCCCTTGTACAGCTGCGACACTGCGGAACGAGGTTTGGCGAAGCAGTTCTGTAGCGGAGCGGAAGGGCGTGGGTTGGGTGAAAGCGTTGGCATCACGCGTTGTTACAAACTGAACCATGATCCCAACCAAGGGAACTCACGTCGCATCGCGTGAATGGACGAAATCGTTTCATTCCAGTGCGTAATTCGCACGTCGGCACGGATCGCGGATCGGAGGGTGCGACACGGCATCACGACGGACCCAGACGCGCAGCTGTTGAAGCTTCCATGGACCTGGGCGGATCGCTACCCTGGGTTGTTTTCGTATTCGTCGAGCGATTTTCCAGGGTTGCCTTTGATCAGGAACACTGTAGGCTTGCTTTGCGACTGTCCCACGATCTGGCGATAAGCAGCGTCGCTTTGCTTGTATGCCAGGCTGGTACCCATCGATTTCCACACTCGAGGTACTCTAACCTGCTGACTTCTCCTTGCATTCAGGAAACTAGGTCACTTTTTTGCCCCATGATCTCCAAACACAGTTTCTTCATTCCGCCACGGTGGCACACTTTGTCCCACATCCCTGACCTGGGAAGTGCAGAAGCATGCCGTGCTTGGTTTCGGCACATGCACTGGGGTACTGAAAGACGTTACCAAGATTATCATGGGTTGACACAAAGCAAGCCTTTGAGAAGCGCGAATTGTGCTGATTGGTGGCTTGCATCCAACTGCGCCTCGTCACTGTTGACTTGACACTCACCACAAAGCCATGACCGATGAGCTGGAAGGCTGGTTTACAGCGCCTGCATCCAGACAAGAGGGCTGCAGGACAACTGATGAATTATCCTCACTGTAAAGTGCTGCCCTAAATTGTTTGCAAAATAAGTAATTCGCTTATGAAAACTAATTAGTTTTGGAAAGACATGTACCAGTACTCTCATTAAAATGATGCAGTGGAACAGAAATGTTTTTTTTTTTGAAACAGTTACAATTCAAATCGTGCAATAATGCGCAAATTTCACTGCACGGTGTTAGAAGCATATAATTCGCGCTTCTGATGTGTCGAACACTACAACAAAAGCGAAGCGAACTGAAGCGAAGCAACAGCGAGTCTCCCAGAGCGGTTGACAGAAAGACAACAACAAGAGGTTGAGTGAAGGTCAAAGGTCAGCGACCTTGACTCGCCGAAAAGCAGCGCGACAGCAAGGACACATAACTGACTCGCTATTGCGCAGTTACCCGAGTCGTCGCTGTATCGAACCGCAACAGCAGTTACAGTTAGTGAAACCTTTCACATTCCTTTGTAATCATATAAAGTTTTGTATCTCTTTGCTATTATTAATTTATCTTGTTCTCACAAACCAGTGCAAGGTGGTTCAATTAGTTCACTATTACGTTTCTGCTAATACATCACTACTCTGAGACTTGAGTCTTGAAAACGATCCTAAGGGCTTTTCTCAGCCCAACATGGTACGAGAGCTAGCAAGACAAAAGACAACTATGTTCAAGCTCCTACAACAACAGAAGGCATGGCTACGCAGAAAGAAAGAAGCTCGTCTACTGGATCTTCCGGCAACACTCCTGCTCCACCGCCAGCCTCTGGACTACAGACAGAGAGAGGCACAACCCAAGGACCAGCTGCTGAGTCCACTGAAACTCCCGCTAATAAAGCAATCGGCTTCGACCCAAGCATGATGGAGAAATTCTTCTCTTCCATGTCGTTCTAGGAGGAACATCAACAAGCAGCACCTGCGCAGTCAAACAACAGCGACAACAACAACGGAGACACTCCCATGAACCTTAACGGTTCATCTTTTGCGCGTGGAAATCAGCAGCCTACCTTCGCACCGTACGAGCCTCAACGCGGCTCCGTCAGCTTCATGCCGAATCAGCTCCCACCTGGACAAGAAACAAAGACTCTGGACGCACTTCAACTGTAGTCACAGTTTACACACATCCTGAAACTCCAAACAACAACACCATTCGACGGCAAGGATTTCTATACCTGGTCCTTTGAGTTCGAGCTGATGATGGAAGGCGCTCAAATCCTAGGCTTTTTCGACGGTTCCCTGCCATATCCAACGCACGGGACGCATTATGACAAACAGCAGTGCACGTATCAGTCACTAATGGTGTACACCATACTCCTGCGAAACATAACGCCAAACGAGCAGCAGAACATCCGGTCTTATCACGGATACGGCAACTCCGCCGAGCTCGCGTACAACCACCTGAACAACCTGTATCAAGCAACCGACATTGTTAATCAAAGTCGTCTCATGGCGCGATTAACAACGGTCCAAATGCAACCCGGCGAAAAGGGAATGACATATACCAGTCGTTGTCGCGGTCTGCGCGATAGACTCCTTCGATGCGGCGGATCAATATCCGAAGAAGCGTTTGTCACTGTCGTTATCACAGGTCTCGGTCCTTAGTGGCGCTCCACTCGAGCCATTCTCCGAGCCCACGGAAGAATCTCTGAAGCAAATCTCTGCGCCGGAATTCACGCCGAGCAACAAGATATGGACCTGCACGAAGAACGTCACAAGAAAAGGGCATCAGCACTAGAGTTCGCCTTTCACACTCAACGTCGCTACAACAACAACAACCGACAAAACGAGCATCACGGACGAAGACACGTACCGCCATTTTGTCACCTCTGCCGAACGTCCGGCCACTCCCGTATTTACTGCCCGAATCAGCAGCAATCGACACCACCACCACGTCTGCTTCAACCTTCAAGTAGTCAAGTAACTTCCACACAGCAACATCCTTCCAACCAGGCGGTGCCTTCAACGACAACGTCACAATCTACACGAGGAACAAGAAACATCATAAGCTCCATGACAAGAATGGACTCCTGCATCACTGGTTCGGCACCGACCTGCTCACCAGAAGAAATGCTCGACGAAAGCACGCCTCGTCGCGATTTGCTAGAACCAAATCCGACGTATGCAGCCATCGCACAGAGCGAATCGTCCGGTCAAGATACTTGGTTCTTGGAGAGCTGCTGCGGACAACACATGTGCTCGTCAAATCGCTTCATTCAACAGGAACAACACCTCAACCGGGAAGTCGTGATCACCGCCGCCAACAACCAGAACCTGCGCACACGACGACAAGGAGTAGTTCAACTTCAATCCCGCGAGACTAACGTCGTTTTACATATGTCAAAGGTTCTGATTGCAGAAGGACTGGGCTACAACTTACTCAGCGTCAGCCAACTCATGGCAAAAGGGATTCACCTTGAAGTCGGCAGCACCACTCAGGAGTTCAAGCTGTACAACGGGAAGGGAGGACTTTACATCGGCAAAGCGGTCCCGAAGAACACCGTCTTCGTTCTTGATTTCGTTCCAGATCAAGGAACAGCTGACAGCGACGCGATCGTTAAATTCACCACCTGGTCGCACCCATAAGATCTCGACCCGGAATTCAGCCCCGGAGGTTTCTGCTACTTGCACACCATACCTGAAGCAGAACGGACAAGGGCGTTAGCAGTGATTCAACAGAAAACAGCAGCAGAGACAACAGCAGCAGCATCAACATCGGCAGCAGCAGAGACAACAGTAGCAGCAGCGACATCGATAGAAGCAGAAGCAACAACAACAGCACCAGCACCAATCACTAGCTCTTCATCAGCACCAACTCCCATCACCGACACCACACTGACTCCCACTCAACAGTTGACTCCCGCCCCACGCGAAGTTCACAGAAGCACCAACATCACCGCAAGTTTTTACTCCAACTCCGATCTGTACAGACGTTCACCTGGACATCGCGCCGACGAATCATTATGGCATCAAAGGTTAGGGCATCCTAGCAACACAACCCTTAACAACACAATAAGAGCAGGGGTGCTCGATAAAGACTCACTACTTTTACCCGACGACAGAGAACTTCAACAAGTACGCGGGACCTGCTTTACC